CCGCCTCGCGAATTCTCATCGCACAGCAGGGGATAGCGAGAGCCACCACGGGGGCGGGGGTGGGTTTGCCCCTGCTTCTTCTCGTTGTTGGTCTCCTCAACGACCTGACGCGCGTGACAACGGCCGCGCTAGTGATTGCCCAGCCGCAGGATAGCGTTTATCCAACCGGCGCTACCACGTCCGTTCGCCGTTTGTTGTCGCGCTCGCCCGATCCTTCATTCGTGCCGCGTCTGTTCCGAAGGGCGATTAACCGCGCATCCAGTCCTAACGAGGTCGGCTTCAAAGGTCACGCGTATCGAGGAATTCTGGATCGTCTTACGCTGACGACGCGCCTTCCATCTTCGTCCGCGCCGCCGTTGTCCTTGACGTCGTCGCTGTTGTCGTCATCGTCCCTGCTATTATCAAGATCATCACCGCTGAATGCTATTGTTATCGGACATGAAAATCGTCCCGCTTGTGACAAGGAGGGCCAAGAGATCACAGTGCGACAGAGAAGAGCGAAACGAGTATTGATCGGCAAGAGGTCGAAGCGAAAAGATCAACTCTCGGCAAATTTTATCGACCCTTGGCCGGAAACATGGCAACGCATTAACAAACGTCGTTTGCAGCTTCGCAAGGTGGATTCCACAACGCTGATCGATGATAAGATTCACCCTGCAGTCCAGGCTTTCACCCCACCATTAAAGCCCGCTTACAAGTTTGAGGAATCAGTATTACGTTCGGAGAATTCCCCGCGAGATATTCTTGACGAGAGCGCTTCAAAGACAGCGACGACGACGACAACGGCGGTGACGACGAGAACCACCACGCGCAACTTGGTATATCATGATGCGACTCAGCGAATTGAAAGAACTGCGAGTGAAGAAGATGACGTCGAGAGAGTGACCGAGGACGCAGTGGAGGGTGATAAGAACGGGCGGGAGTTGGTGCTCGTGAGGAACGAGGATAATGGTGCGATTGTAGTTGGTAGTGATAGTGTCATTGAGTGGACTACGACAACAGTCGCCAGGCCGATGTCATCGTCGCGGTCGGCGTTCTCCGGAGACAATGTGCAGGTGGCCGAGCGTGTAAAGGTGCGCGCGAATTCCGATCGAAGCTCACCGAGAGGCGTGGAGATCGACGAACAGCGAATCAAGGTCACTGTTGCACAGGAAGACTTGTCCGCATCGTCGACAACAACAACGACGACGACGACGACTACGACGACGACGGCGACGACGACTACGACAACGACGACGACGACGACGACGACGACAACGACGACGACGACGTCGACGACGACGACGACAACGACGACGACGACGACGTCGCAGCGTCCACCGCTGACTCAAGACACCTCTATGGAAGCATGTGAGTACCAATAAAACCTTGACGAAGTAAATGTTTTTTGAGACCAATCAATACATCCGATAGACTCTTTTATTAAAATGAAAGATTGTAATGTAACGCATAGTAGCTGGATATCCTATATTATTATTTATCTTAGTATTATTATTATATATTACATCGTTGCAGAGATGAAATGGCCGTTTTTAGGATTTGAATTTAAATTTTTATTCGATAAACTTAATGTATACTTTGTCAATTGAAATAGTCTCTGTTCACTTCAACACACTTCTCCCAACGCGATACAAGCGTATTAATAGAAATCGGAAGAGCGAGATGCGAGAAATTCGTTGAACGCACTTTCACGTCGTTTTGAAAACTTTTTCTCTTAAAAAGCTATCTAGGTGCTTAAAAAATGGTAGTTTGTCAGAGAAAAATTAGAAGAATAAGGAGGACGAAGGAGAACTTTGCATTTCAATTCTGCTAAACGGAGCCTTTCTCCGTGTAAGATTATAGTGTCTGTATGGTGGTCTGCTAAGGGTGTTGTGCATTATTCGTTTTTAAAAAAGGGTGAAACTATGAATGTCGACAAATACTGTTAAGAAATTGATGTAGTAATAGAAAAAATGCGCATTGAACAGCCAGCATTACTCAATAGACGCGGTATGTTATTGCTCCATGATAATGTTAGATCTCATGTTGCTGTAAAAACAAACTGTAAAAAAATTAGCAGAATTGAAATGCGAAGTTCTCCCTCACCCTCCTTATTTTCTTAATCTTTCTTCAACCGACTACCATTTTTTTAAACACTTGGATAGCTTTTTAAGAAAGAAAGTTTTCAAAACAACAAGTGACGTAAAAAGTGCGTTCAACGAATTTCTTGCATCTCGCTCTTCCGATTTCTATGTAAAAAGTATTAATACGCTTGTATCGCGTTGAGGGAAGTGTGTTGAAATGAATGGAGACAATTTCGATTGACAAAGTATGTATTAAGTTTGTCGAATAAATGTCATCTGCAACGACCTAATAGTATTAGTATTATTGTCAATAAAAATTTTATTTTGATAAAACAGATATAAGAAATGTTATAATATATTTAAAAAATTATTTTGCATTATTTTATTTTTAATTAAAACATGTTATTGAAGATTGTGTTATGTGTACGCGATATGATTTTACAAATTGCGTTAAAAATTATTTCCACTGACACAAATATATTATTTGTATATTTTCTGATCACCAATAAAATTCTTAATGATGCTGTTATTTAAGACCCGGCTAAAAAATTACCATATTTTACTCTTTTATCGAGTAATAATAAATACAATTTCTAAGATAAATGACGAGAAATGGAAAGAAATTTGGTCGTGGAATTAATTTATTTTGCATATACGCGCGATAAATTCATTATGAGTCACAGTTAGTCAGATCATAAAGATTAGTATGTCCATAAGAGGGAGGGAGAGAGAGCGAGTGAGAGGAAGAGGGAGGAGAAGAGGGGGGAGGGGGGAGGCGACAGAGAAGCGCGGCGCATGGTTTGCGTATCTCGTGTGTTTTTGATTACGTCTGGCGACAAAACAGTCTTTGCGTACAAAACAGTCGATTAGTCCTTTCGTCGTTCTTTTCTATCGAACGTGCTTTGCCTCTCTTACCTTCCTCGTCTTTACCCTTTTTATATCCTTTTATGTCTATTCTATCTGGTCTTGTTACACGTGCACATTATGCAACGACCACAATAGCGGGCAACTACAACGATGATAGAGAATGACTGGAATCCTCGATATCGGTATCGACTACATTAGCTTAACTTTCGATTCACGTAGGAAACTGAGCGAGAGACTGAACAAAGTTTGAACAATGTATTCTTGATTCAAATGTAGGATTCGCGTTTTTGGCCGTCGCAAATTAACTGTGAAAAATGATCTGGTATTGCCTTAGTAGACAGCGACAGTTCAATTTCTCCCTCAGTGTTTTAATTCTCTTTTAATTCTCAATAGAGAATAGATTATAACTTTAACAACTATTATTTGAGCTTTTCATTATTCTTTGATCTGTAGCACATCTAAATCTCACTCAAGGCTTTTTAGGTTTTCGTGCCTGAAGTGTATGAAAAGACAAAATACATCATATTAAATGTAATGATTTTGTACATATATCTATACACAAATATGGATTTTTGAAATACTATTTTGACTGAATAATTTACTGGAATGAAAAAAGTTGATCGATCAAGTTTGATTAGCCGGCCGATCCCGATTATTGCGCTTGTACACTTGTATCGTTACTTAACACATTTATTTCCGTGCTCCTGCAAGAGAACGGAGAATCGTCCTTCTCTTATACGATCTAATTCGTGATCTGGACAGCTCCCAACGATGAGTTCTTGTGACTGCGCGATACCTAGTATTCCCGGTATAAGAGGAATGACTAAATGGCCTGAGTAATCGGTCAGGCATCCCAAAACTCGCGATTTATTTTTTGGTATCCCTAGAAAAGAAGTGACGCACCGGTGATACACCGACAGAATGAAAGTAATGGTCTCCTATAAATTCCAAGAAATACTTGAACGAATCGACGTATTCTGGAGGAGAATTTCCGCGTTTGACAACATTAATTCTAGCAATCGTCACGTTTTTCCCATTATATTATATATTATATATTATATTATATTATATGTACCGATTGCTTCTTAATCTACATCTGCGCCATAATTGTTAAAATTTCGCGAGTTAATCCATACTCACTTCTCAATTGAGAGAAAGTTGTTTTTATTAAAAAATGATAGTGTAATGAAAGACTTTTTGCTTTTTTTCGAACTGATGTAGAAGGAGCAGAAATTTTACTTTGATTTAATGATAAAAACTGGTCCTTGATAGTGTCGCGCTCGTGTTACGATGTATATCTCTGAGATTCGAAGGCACTACGACGCGTTAAAGGCAGCGGCAACGGCAGCCAGTACGTTATCGCAGAATAGAGCGAAAGGGGTTCCCCGGGCGAAGAGCGTAAGGGCTTCGTCGCTATGGAAACCCTGGCACACGGCTCTCCGGCTACTGTGGGGTGCCTCAAGTTTTTTATGGCCCGAACGATCGGAGGGTCGAGACTCTAAAAATCGTTACACAAACCTAGATACTCGTCTCCTCGCGCCCCTGTAACATTCGCCACCCTTTCGGTCACGGACCTTACGCAACAGCGTTTCCGCGCTGTGTTATTTCGCTGATTGTTATTGGCCAGCTCTTGTACCAAAAGTGCTAGACATCACTTTTTAATATTATTTATATATGCATTTATTTTATGGAATTGTGCGTTTCTATGTCGCGTTTCGTGTTTCGTATTTGATTGTTGCGACTGTTAAAAAGTTGCTTATTTTTTGTTTATTGAATGCGAATATTTCTTGCAATAGTAATCATCTTTGTTAATTAACGTTTCGATAAAATATTGATATACGTTATTTTAGCTTAGAATTATGAATATCTTCCAAAAATCTTACGGTATTTGTTATTGCAATAGATTTGAGAATATCTCAGATTATCTTATAATTATTATAGTATATTAATACATACTCTCATCTTATGGAATTCTTCAGTGATAAATTACAAGGTGGACTAAAAATATATTTTAACTTTTATTGCTTCGAGTCATCGCAAAGATTATATTCCATATTCAATATTGACGCTCTTTCTACTAATTAAATACAACTCGCGCAAAAAACTGGTAGTTTTTTTGCATGCCAAGTTTTCAAGTTTACCTCACAATTTATGAAATTTGCGATAATTTTTAGAAAATTTTTCTCTTATCTTACATATTCTTTCAAGATGCCATTTTCAATCTAAACAGCAAATTTAACAAATTAATGAAATATAAATTAGTAATTATTATTACGTGAAATATATAATTAAAGATTGAAAATTTAATTTTTTTTTATAGTCAAATTTACAAATTGTTTTTCAATTGGAATGTTGACTCTTTAATATCGATTAGTGAGTTTTTTCCCCAAATTGTCTCTCACATATTTTTCTATTCTTCGTGTTCGTAAAGAACGTTTGCAAACTGAAAAAACTCGTGCGATACGTTCATCGGCCATATTTGTGCACGACGATGTGCAGAAAGGGCAAAAGGAGCGATGTAAAGTCCCCAGTACTCTTGGCACCCTTCACGAAAGCAGCTCCTAGCGAAAGGGGCGCACGACGAGGGGGTGATGGCGAAGTACAAGCGACGGTGCGCGTTTGCTTCGAACTGTCAAGTATTGACTCGTTTCGTTGTAGGAGAAGCGTCGTAAGCACCATGTCTGTAATGTTAGTAGACGCTAGTAGAAATTCTCTGTTCAGAAACATTTCTCATTAAAATTGATATGCAATATTGTCGTCTTCATATTATTTATAGTAGTAATTAATCGGTTTTAAAACGTCCTGCGACGTTGTCCGATGCTTAATTTTCATTGTTTTCGGTCTCTCCATGCATCTTCATTTATTTCCTGAATGAGTCTTTTGCTCATTGATTTTCGAATGCCTTCTATTCATGATTTTTTGTTTTTCTTTTCTTCTATTTTTGTAAGGCACCCATTGAAGAGCTTTCTTCGGTTTCTTTGACATTCGTTGTACATATCCGAACCAAATCAGCTTTTCGTCGATGCAGTCTGATTTTTTTATTTTCATTTGATCTTTTATTATTTCGTTGAGTCTTCTTTCTAATCTGGAAATTCCCGCTGATCTTCTTATAACATTCATCTCAGTTGTCTCCAATTTTTCTTCAGGCGTTCTTTGAGTCTCCACGTTTCCGATTCGTATATAAGAATACTTTCCACGATACTATCCTCAATTTGTGTGTTTTTCCAATGTAGCTGTTTCACTATATTTTATTTAGGGCTCCAATAATTTGTTTGGGTCTTGAAATCCGGAATCTTATTTCTTCGTCACCTGTTGTATTGAAAATTACTCCAAAATATTTATATTCGTTACATGTTGTAATTGTTATACTTTCTATTTCGATATCGGTGGCTTCTTTCCCTACACATAAGTATTGGGTTT